TATCAATGAAAATTACTATCAAGGTTATAGAGATGGTCCCAGTTCTAAGTCCATGACTTCTGAAAAGGGAAAGACTGCTCCAGTTAACTAAGCAACCCCGGTCAATTTCTGAACCTCTTTAGGATGCTGTTGTAAGTGAAATGGTTAAGTATGTAATTTCTAAAGGATTTTTTTCTGCTCTTAGATTTCATCACTTCAAATGGCTAAGGAGGTATTTTGTCTGTCATCATACTCTAGTGACTAAGATTTTTTGAATGCATCCAACAAGTACATTACATCCCTACTCAATCCCCCAAGTTACTTTTGGTTGTATAAGGTCATAATGATCTAATGTTCTTTGGGAGCTCTTAAGCAGGTAACATCAAACCCAGCATATCTGAGGAACCTAAACCTCATTGTAATTAGCAGACCTTACCCAATTCAAGTGACTCAAAATTTCATTTACTCTTCAAAACTCAACTCCAGTACCAAGTTCTCCAAGAAGCTTTTCCCCAGCAATACCAAGATGAGAAATTTATTTCTGCATTTCTCTTATATTTATTACCATGATATGTGGCATAAACCCCACTTCTTCCATTTTCTTCTCTACTAGAGTTTGGATCCTAAATGTCCACCAAAGACTTGTGTGTTAAACACTGGGTCTCCAGATACTACATGAGATGGTAGAATTTTTAAGAGGTGGAGCTGAGTGTCAGCATAGTAGAACATTCAGAATGTAACACTGAAGAGGATCCAAGGACCCTGAACCCACTCCCCCCCTCCACTTCCTGTCCTCTCCACCATGAGGTGAACAGCTTTAATCTGTCACAGAAAGGTGGTGTTCTGCCTCATCACAGACCCTCAAAATCACAGAGCCAATTAAGCATGGACGGAGACCTCTGGAACCCTAAGAAAGCTTCCCTCCTATGAGGTTGCATTTCTCAGGTATGTTGTCCCAGAATCAAAATGTGTCTAACATACTCCCACAGCACTTTGACAGTGTCTCTACAACAATACCTATTTTATCCTTCTTGTCTCGTTTTTTTTTTCATCACAGACCCTCAAAATCACAGAGCCAATTAAGCATGGACGGAGACCTCTGGAACCCTAAGAAAGCTTCCCTCCTATGAGGTTGCATTTCTCAGGTATGTTGTCCCAGAATCAAAATGTGTCTAACATACTCCCACAGCACTTTGACAGTGTCTCTACAACAATACCTATTTTATCCTTCTTGTCTCGTTTTTTTTTTTTGAAATAACTAGTTGCTTGTCCATATGCCCTCTCAAATTATAAGATCATTCTTGAAAATAAATTCGAAATTTTAATTTTCTGTATTAGGATAGATTACTTTGCATATAGCACTTTGCATATGGCATTTTTTTTTTGGAAAAAAAAAATGGAAGGCAGAAGATGTTTAATGATATTGCTGAATTCTGACCAAGTAGTTATTCACAGATTCAAGTTTGGCTACTTGAATTTCCCTACTACAGGACAGATATGAGTCTCATGGGTACTTAAATACAAACTGAAGTCTCAACTCGTAACTTAAACAAATAGTTTTATAAAGAATAGACTAGCAAATTGTGACAAGAGGTTCTTATTTGTAAAGGAGGCAAAATGGAGAGAATTCATTTCCTATTTACCAATGCTCAATGGCAAAATTTAGAAAAGTATAAGAAGAATTTTAAAAAATATTTTATTTTTATTTGTGTGTATGAGTGCGGGTTCTCTGTAAAAGTAGCCAGTATTCTTAACTGCTGAGCCTTCTCTCCAGTCCCTAGAATATTTTTAAAAAATCTATAGAATAT